TATGCTGGTTAAATGCAACAACTTTTCGGTTTCACCGGTAGGATTTCTACGGTCTTGGTCATGCTGACTCATATGACTCAAATGACTCGTATGATCCGGATCTCTTCAATGATTGACTCAGAAGACTCCGAGTCCATAAAATGATCCGGATTTGCCATCTCTAGGTCCAGCATCACCATGCCGCAGTACTTGCCCGTCCATGCCCTCGGTAATGTAAACACCTCCTGCATTTTAGCTGACAGCTGTTCAATGTCAACGCTGAGGAAAGGGTTTGATACAAAACCAACTAGGCTACTTGCCCCATGTCTTGTAGCTCCACAAATCGATCAGTTTGTTCAAATGGGCGCAGAATTGTTCAGGATGAAAAGCAGTTTTGTCTGTGAGGACACCTTTTCAAGATTTGGGAAGTGTGTCAGCCTCACATGTGGTCCACAAACAGCTTCACTTTGAATGCCTCCACTGCGCTAATCATGTGACCAAGCTCTCGGTCTTTCCCTTGCAATTCTCGGTTAAGGTCATTGAGTTTTGTAGTCAGATCGGTAAGGAACCCCAAGTCCAATAACCAAGTATCGTCGGACAGCTGCTCATACTCCTCGTTCCTCGACTTCAGAAAACTGATGATCTCTGGCAGCAAATGCTGGAGCACCTTGCCCAGACTGAGCCACCTTACATCTGCGTGAAGGATCAAATCTCCATACACAGAGTCCAGCTCGTCCAATAAAGACTTAAATAGCCGGTGCTGGAGTGCTTTTGCGCGAATTGAGTTGACAATCTTAACAACAACATTCATTACATGTGACATGTCAATTGCTTTAGCTGCCAATGCCTGTTGATGTAGGCCTACCACACAGTGATAGTTTACAAATGGTGGAAAGTCTGGGTCTTTTCTGCACAGCGCAACAAATCCTGAACATCGCTGGTGCACCATCGGTTGTGAAGGACACTATTTTATGAATGGGAATCTTGTACTCACGAACATAGTCCTTGAATGCCTTGTACACATCCTCACCCCTGGTTCTTTCTTTCAAGGGATAAGGGCATGAAAGGCCTCCTTGACAATCAAATCCGTGAAAACCATCCGGACAAACACACCTAGCTGGGCTGTGTCTGTGGCATCGGTAGACTCGTCAAATTGAACTGAAAAGTATTCCGAGAGAGACAAGTCTTTTAATACTTGCTGGGATACATCTTCGGACAATGACTGGACTCTTCTGGCTACATAGGTGCACCAAGTGGTACACTTTTTATCCTTGCTTTTATGTCCTCTTTTGAAATCCGCAAACAAGACGTCAGCTGTGGCGCTCATTGCTTCTTTAATCATCTCACCATCCGTAAATGTTTTTTTGTGCTGAGCCAAAATATGGCTAATCCGGAGGGACGTTTCTGTAGCTGCATTGCTCTTTGATGTAGGCGCGATGAAAAGCGACTGCTGTGCTTTTAGTCCTCTTTTCAGTTCATCAATTATTTTGGTTCTTAATGCGCTGTTGAGTGGATATGAGTCTTTGAATTTACCATGGGTGCTCGCATGATGGCGCTCCAGGTTGCCCCGTTTCGCCAAGGCTACCGCCTGTTGGCATATGAGGCATATTGTTCTCTTTCGCTGATGTGAAAAGAAATGCATGCTCCCATTCCGGGTGGAAATAATACGTTTTTGATGTCTTTTTCGCCGGACCCTCAGCCATATCGATGTTGGTTAAAGATTAGCAGAATTTACAGTTTAAGTTACTCCTCAAGATGACCGTTAAGATACGATTGTTAACCCCACCCACAATTGCATGCAGCAATTCATAGACGTCAACATATCTAATAACCATTGTAGCCTACCATTGTCATTGTAAAATGACCTGTGCGTGATTCAAATCAACAAACCAGAGCTAGGTCTAAAACGTTTGTTTAAACAACCAACCAGAGGATGAACTTTTTTTTTTGTGGAAAATATTATGTTTTTGGAAAATATTTTTATTTTGGAAAATATTATTATTATTTTTTGTAAATGCTAGGGATCGACAGTGAAGGCTTTGAAGATCGACCAGTCGATCGCGATCGACCTGTTGGTTACCCCTGCTTTATAGAAATGTAATTTCTACTTATAAGAAGCCCTTAAAACAGACCTGGCAGGTCGATACACCACACACCCTGCTTCCAGTTGTAACCTCATAAACCTGCAGGTACTTCCAAGTGCCCTAAAACATAATTCCTTTGTACAATAAAACGAGTAACATCCTATTAAATGATTAAATCAAAGTGACTCACGGCACTCCTCGAGCAGACTGATGGTTCTTCTCTTCTCTTGTGGATGTGAGACAGACGCCTCCTCTCCTGCAGGGCTCAGGTTCAACACGCTGACCTGTGACATGCTCTCCACCGGGGGGACAAAGAACTGAGGCACGTTCACCGACACACCTCCCTGAGCCACCATGCTATTCATAGGGTGATGAGGGTGTCGGTGCCTGGAGCATTTGGAAAGAAAAGATAGAAAAGGCTCATCAGTTAAATCCTGCTGACAGGTGATAACATGCAAAGCAGCTGCAGCACTTGGTCACAGCATTTTTGCGTGCTTACAAAGTTGTGGACTGCACATAGTTGTTCTAAGATTCTGCATGTTGTTGTTTTTACCAGTTTTGGTAGTCATCCCAGGGTCCTCTGTGCTGGTAGGGAGCAGAGTGGTGACATGGCAGAGGAGGGTATCTGTGGCCTGGATAGGGGTTGAACTGCTGCTGATAATACCCGATATTCATGGTATGACGGTGGTCTGTAAATATAGTTGAAGCACATGATGAGGCAGAAAATGCCAAAATAAAATAAGCTAGAGAGAAGCAGGTTGCCAGTTAATACCCAGCCAAATTAAAATCATATACTGTACATAATGACTAAAAGTGCTGCTAATGACAGTGGTTAGAAGCAACTACAATCAAGTACTGCAAACGTTTTAGACCTGTGTTTTATGTGAGCACACTTTACGGTACTTCCACTTAGTTTAGAGTAAAATTATGATTTCTTTTACACATTCTTCTGAAACTAACAATTACTTGTCATAGGTCTAAATACTGAACATTATATGAAGTATGTGCTTTACCTTAAAACATTGCAACCTTTAAGTGCTGCTTACACATTTGTCCACTTATGATTACAAAGATATCTACCAATTAAAGTCTCATTGTTATGCACAATACTTCACTTCATAGGACTTCAACTCATAATACTGTAAGTATGTTTTGCAGATAATATTTCTGTACTTTTACCTGTGAATTGTGAAATATATAGGAATAATATTATTTGCACACTCCTGTTTTGCTGCTACTTTGGTAAAAGCAAGGAAATATAAACAATAATAATAGTAATGATAATAGAAATACTTGATTATCTTCTTTTTTCAAACAAAGTGCATATTAACAGTTTTTTGACATTTACAGTGAACAAAAAGGAATAACTTAAGAAATAGAGTTTTTCTTACCATAGTTGTGCATGTAGTGGTGAGGAGGCTGAGGTGGTTGGTAGTGTTGCCACTCATCGTCAGATCTTAGCGGACAGGGAAGCTCAAGATCCTCTTCATCACTCTGAAGCTGAGAATTACATTCATCCTCACCCCTGAAAATTAAAATGTTTTAATTTCAATTTCAAACCTTGAAGCATATGTTAATGGTAAGATATTCTCTGACAGGTGGCTGCTTCTCAGTCACCTCATTGTGTCTTTGTTTGCAGGCTCAGTGTTTCCAGTGTGAGATCCACACTCCATACAGGAGCAGTCTGCTCTCGTGTCCCTCGCTCTGGTCTCCGCAGGACGGGGGCGATGATGGAAATTAATCCTGGCAGGAGCTGCTCCTCTATCTTCTGGCTCTTTGTGCTCCATCAGATCACGCCGCGTATCACAAACTGGCTGACTCCCACAATTCTGGTTCACTTGTTCGACTGCAATTGCTCCTTTTTGGCAGAAATAGTCTGCATCCATGCAATGGGCTGGTATGAATCTATTATGATGTGGATTGGCGTGAAACATTTGGTTTACTTTGACTTCAGGGATTAAAGGTTGAAGGAAAAGTTCTGATTTATTTGTGATGGGAAACACTTTTAGTTCTGGTGGTTCTTCCGATTTTTCCATCTTAACCAAGTAAAGTCAGCCTGTAGTCCTGCAAGTACAAAAGACGCAGAAAACAAGTGATCCTCATGAGCAGAAAAACACAGAACTAAAGGTCATTTGGAAGTGTGATTCAAATAAAGTTGAACATTACAAGACAATACTTTTACACATGCAGTTATTGTTAAACATACATACCACAACAATCCTATTCTTGCATTTATATTATTTTGCACCTACCATGCATTGAGAACACTGTCAGGAGGAAGGAGAAAGACCAACAGTGACATACCTGTTCCAGCCTGGATTCTTTACACTCCTGTTGGTGCAGAGGCTTGTGTAAGCTCCAGCCTGCTATATGCAAATTCTCCACCGCTTCAGGTGTGTCCAATCAGAGAAAGGCTGTGTTGCTCAGCCGGAGTGGCCAGGTGAGATTAGATGATAACATTCAATAGTGGAGTCTGAACTGTTCAAACAAAGTTTTCTTAAAGTTAATTTCCTTATTAGAACATTACATTATTAAGACGTGTTGCATAGTTTTGAGTAACAATAAAACAGGCGCTATGAAGCTATACTCTCAGACTAACAAAGCTATATTCAAACTAAATTCCACAAAATGTCAGAACAAAACAAACAATTAAACACCTGAAACAAAGATTGGGAAAAAGTACAATGACTATAAAGAAACGGGTAATAAATACATATTAATTCACTTTAAAGTTAACAGCCCAGCAAGAGATGTGCATGTACTCCAAGCCTTAGGGTAAACCACATATCTCACCTCACTTATTGTGTGATTGATATCTGCTGTCAGTCTCCCCCTGGCTCTGCATATTTCCTTGACAAAAGCTAGATGACAGGCAAGTATTAAAACAACTTGCTCAAAAGTGTTAAGGGCTAATTGTTTTTAAGTGTTCCACAGGACGATGGTGGCAAGATTGTTTATTTCAAAACCAGAGGTGTACAAGTAACAGACAGAGACAATAAATAATGCAGAGACCAAAAACATGTTTCGTAGATCTACTGAATTAGAGCAAACATAGTGATACAAAATCTACTACTTGCTCGCTTTTCTGACCGTGAAAAGCAACTTAAATACGCACAGAAAAGGTGTATTGTCCTGGAATGCACACAGAGAGAAGTTTGACACTTGAGGATGAGAGGAATGTCATCCAGAGCTGCAGATTTCCCTGGAAAGGTCACAGTATTATGTAATCTTAACGACACATAACACTGGCCGAAATGTTTAGCCAAAATAATACAGTGAAATAAACACGTTTGGTCTCAAACGACATGTTATTTTAAGATACACATTATGGAGGGACAAACAAAGGTCACTTCCTTCATTCCCTTCATGTAGGTGGCAGTTTGTTTGTTTGCCGCTGAAGCGAAAAAGGACAAGAATTCTTACACAGCTGGCAGCCATACGATAATGCAACATACATTTTAAAATATTGCCAGTATAATAAGCAGTCAGCCAAACAATGGTTGCAGTTTAAGAGAGGAAGTCCGCCTCCTTTTCAACTACAAGAAGCTGAACTAAAAGTCACCTTAAGTCGATCTATTAATCATTGGCTGAAGCTGAAATGCGATGAATGCACTTAATATTAGTGCAGATGCCATACAGGTTTGGGTGGAAGAGTCCATGATGCACTAAGTTAGTGTGTAGAAAGCATAAAGGCATTCTCTTACAATATAAGAATATTACTAAACATGAAAAGGCAAGAACAGGTGTTATAGTACATCTAAGTTCCTTGAGAAGAGGAGAGCAGTATCGTTATATTCACCTCGTAAAAAAGGTCAGTGGACTCCCAAAGAACATTTTCTGAGATGCTTCGGTCCACGATGTCTAACTACCATTCCTACATTCCTATTAAGTCACGATTTGATACCAAATGTGAGCTTCACACAATTTGTCTACGAGCTGAAATCTGAAATTACTTTGACCTCGGATTAAAAAAAAAATCCACACATTTCCAAAATATCAAAAGTAATATAAAATGAAACATAAAAGAGATAAGTAAACAAGCAATTTATATTTACACTACGTACAGGTTCACGACACGACTCATCTCCATCATCCATTGCAGTCATTTTTAACTCCCAGCACCCCCTCCCACCCCTCCAAATATCCTCAGATTTGATAGTCAGTGTGCCGTCAGAGCAGCAGCTTGGAAGTCAAGAAGTCAGTCAATGAGCTTTGAATTGTAACAGCCACAGGATGAGAGAGAAGAGGTGGAGTGGGGCCCCCCCCTGGTGGAGAGCCGGTGGGATGACATGAGATGAGAGCAGTGGCGCTCAGAGGTTGTCCCCCGGCTGGTACTGAGGCTCAGTGGCAGTGAAGTAGTCCTCCAAAAAGGCCTGCAGGTACTCGAAGGTGGGCCTCTCCTCGGGGTCTTTCTTCCAGCACTGCACCATCAGCTCGTGCAGAGAGGGGGGGCAGTCCTGCGGGCACGGCATCCGGTAGCCCCGCTCCACCTGCTCCAGCACCTCGCGGTTGTTCATGCCTGGAAAGAGGAACACGGAGAAATGAAGGCAATGGAATAATAAGTATCTCACATCACGGTCTCACTTTTTGGGTTTTCTTTTATGAGCTCTTTTATTTAAATAATTAAATTGTATGAGGTTATTGCATTAACAGGAAGCAACTGCGACTGAAAGAATATTGCTTTTATTTGACTTTTTAATGGTTATTTCATTTTTCTTTTATAAGAAGGGGCAGGTAAAATAAGATTTTCTTCTCCCTGCTCCTTTCCACCATGCGCTCTAAAAACAATAACCAGTATAAGTGTACATGTTTTGTAAAGTGTAGATGTTTTGTTTTGAAATAACTGCCATGTGTGGAATAAACAAATACATAAATAAATAACAGAAACAGCTGAAATAACAGATTTTTGCCATGTGTTTCTATTTTATTGTTCTTATTTTAATCACTTACTTTATTGTAATTTGTTATTTTATTAACTTAGTTTTTATTTAATACTGTTTTACTAGTATTAGTGTTTTTATAGCTTTTATTATATTTTAGTTTTCCGTTATTTTCACGGTCAATCCTAAAGGTCAACAATCAACTTCCATGCTAGGATGAACTCAGAAATGAATCTCATAAGAAGTAAGTTGAGCATGAGTACGATTGGATTTTTGAGACCGTTAAATGTCTGCGTCCTAAAACGAAATGCTGACAATGTAATGTTATAAATCTTATAACATTAGATTGCCAGCATAAACATAACATTTCGTCGTGAGTTGATAAATTGCATTTGATGGTTAAGGCTTCTTCTAGTTCATAGAGATCAACTTCCACTTTACTGCAGGTTTAATCATCCAGAGAAATAGAAAAACATGTGTGGGTGTGCGGGAGCATGTATTTAAACGGTTGGAAATAAGAGCTTTTTCTTAACTTGTGTTATTCTGTTACTCATTCAAATGCATATAATGTCAGTTTAATGTCAGAATGTGTATAGCAGATAAACAAGAACACTGTCATTTCACATGTTTTCACACTCGTCAGGGAACATTGCTCTGCATAATGCACAATATGACATTATGCAACATGCCGCTCTTTTTTTAGAATACAGATCCATGGCTAGTCTCAGCAGACTCAAACACTCTCACGCACTCTGCATTAATCAAATATGAGCAATAATCTGGAGTTGGGATGAGATTACATAACCCACAGAGCTGCAGACCCTCACCTGGATACGGCACTCGGCCCTTGGTTACCAGCTCCGTCAGCAGGATGCCAAACGACCACACGTCCGACTTGATGGTGAATTTCCCGTAGAGAGCCGCCTCAGGAGCGGTCCATTTTATTGGGAACTTTGCGCCTAAAAGAAATGTAGATACTGGATGTTAAACTGCTGCAACATTTTTGTCCTTTCACTGTTGTCTTTCCAGCTGAGAGAAATAACCTTTACCAAAACCCAAAGAGTAAGTAGGCCAGTCTCCTCTGTGTGAATGTATCCCTTTATCTGTGATATCATTAGTGCAGAGACACGAGGACATGATAACATCCCACCAGGGAAAAAGCGGAACAATTCCATTATCTCTCTCCATCTGATTTTGCACTTGGCCCAAATTGCAAAAATGTAAACCGTGAGTGACTGAAAATGATGACAGAGTGACTAACGGAGTCTGGAAGTCCTCCTGATGTTACAGATCCCTCGCCCTTCTAATGAGATAAACAGCGACAGATGGACTTTTAGGTAGAACATGAGCTCTGGCTTAAATCCTGCACTGAACCCTAGTATAGGTTTGATATTCTGTTGTATTTGTGCCTCGCTGCAACCACATGTGCTTCTGTTTTCCACTGGTGTCACCGTGTATGTGTGTGCGTGTGCGTGTGTGTGTGTGTGTGTGTGTGTGTGTGTGTGTGTGTGTGTGTGTGTGTGTGTGTGTGTGTGTGTGTGTAAAATGTATCATGGAATTAACTAATGGAATTAACTAATGGAATAAGTCATCTGCCAGCTCGCCAACTTTTTCCTCTGGCGTTGAGGTTTTGAAAAAAATCCTGTGGTTGAGGACTAAGGGAACACTACAGAACAAATTCATCTCTATTCCAACAAAGACCTGCAAAAAAACGTTGCTGCCGGTTAATGCAACTGTAAGGTATTGCTTACTTGGAAGGAATTTATACATCACTAAATTAGAACATGCTACACAAGTAGTATAATCAGTAGTTATTAGTTGTTTTTAGATATTTATAGTTACACAGTTCCTCAATTAAATACACATTAGCTTTAAGCTTGCTCATAAATATGTAAAAGCGGTAGTAATATGTTATATAATTGACTGATTTGATTCACAGCCATATTCTGTTATGAGTTATAAGGAGCGTCAAAGATCTTTATGAATGTTTTATTCGCAATTACAGATAATGATATCACTGAGAAGTTCCAATCACACTTATTCTAAATATCTGAGCATTATGTCTGTGTTTTGTATGCAAACTTACAGCAATTGCATCCTAGTGGTTTGTAAAGTAACTTATGTTCCACTATGTGAATGGCCATCGTCGTAAGACACACAATTCTCCATGTAGGCATGCATAAACAAACTGACATTTACGAAGTATAGGCAGTTACCTTAAATATAGTGTTTGGCCTACAGTCCTACACTGACTTCCTGTTTACATATAAGTTTGCATTTGATTGGACCCTGGTATAGATGTTTTCTAGCAACCGAATCACCAAGTGGTTACAAGCTTAAACATTCTTTAGATTTCAACAAGGCAACCCCATTTAGTAAATCACTAGTTTGGAACCGGCAAGTTCTTGTTTAGGAAGAACCCAGGGATGATTTGACACAAAAACTTGAATTCTCTTAAAGCTGGTGCAGCCCAACCCACTGAACCCAGTGACCCACCTTGTCTTGCTGTGTATTCATTGTCCTCGATGAGCCTGGCCAGACCGAAGTCAGCGATCTTACACACAAGACTTTCTCCGACAAGGATGTTGGCGGAGCGCAGGTCTCTGTGGATGTAGTTCATCCTCTCAATGTATGCCATGCCTGCTGCCACCTGGGGAATGGAGTTATTTTTTACAATGAACATCATATCAGAGTTTCAAGGTGATTTGATGTGTGCTAAGCAAGATTTGAATGTAGATTTACAGCTATTTTACGAGCCTAAAACTATTATTACTGCCTCGTGCTTGAATGCCTCCGTCAAACAGTCAAGTAGATGTTTACATCTGTATCTGTCCACAACGTCAGCTTCATGTCCTCATCCTTTTATCCTATTAGATATTTGTGGAAAATATTCATAATTAACATATGATTCAGAGAGTTAGAACAGTGACCTTGACCTCCAAGTTCTCCGAGTCCAACATGACGTTTTTGCCAAATTTAAAAGAAATTCCCTCAAGGCCTTCCTGGAATTACGTGTTCACAAGAATACGGACGAACGCAAACAAACACAATGCCTCCGGCTGCAACTGTCTACTAAAAATAATAAAAGGGACTGAAATGAAAGGGGAATACAACGGACCTGAAAAGCCATAGATGTGCCATATTTGACAAATAAAATCCATTATCAGATATGATTACTTATTGACCCTCGGAGAATCATGAGTCACAGCTTCAAAATGGAATAAATGCAGCAACTGAGTGCACTTACAATAAGGTTTAATTACTAAATGTAGATACTTTAGTCCAATTGCTTTAAGAATAAAAGTGTCCCAGACCAGTCAGACTGCTAAGTAACAATGTGCTAAATCTACACTCTTGAAAAACTGCCATTTTGGCCTGCTGAGATGAGGGTTAGCCTAATGAATCTGTAGACATTGGCAGTACATCAGGATGGAAATGGCTGCAAATGGGCAACACTTATAAGCTTAAATGAATACATTGGTACCAGCTGGATAAGGTTAAAGCGAATAAGCTCTCAGAAAAAGAAAATCGCCTCAGAGTGTTTTGGTAACAAATCCAGCGTGTACAGCATCAAGATTTCATGTTCAGTGGCGTACCTGAGCTGCCATGTCCACGAGATTTGGTAGCTTGAGGGCTCGTCCTTCTCCATCTTTAAGGAAGTCAAGCAAACTCCCTAAAGAAACAGATAGAAACGAGTTAGGAGGATCTGTCGTCTTGTATTGTCTTTATCTGCCAGATCTTGACTCAAGATTTGGATCAAACTGAAGTAAGACATTGTAGCGAAAATCAATTCTGGGATTCCTGCCACATGTCGCACTTGGCTCAGTCTTTATTTGTCAGTTATTGCTGTGGTAACTGAAGATCTCTGTTTTCATCAACATAACTCCTGTACAACCACTAGTTATGTTTGTATCACTGATATTAGATGTGTGTTTATAACAGTATGCACATGCTATGAAGTAGGACACATACTGTACTGTCAGTGCAGATCCATAAATGATGCACACACTGTGTAGGTGTATGCACAGATGCATGTTTGTAATATTCATAGTGTTTAAGTGTCAGTTGAAAATAGCATCTACCTTTGCACATGTACTCGGTGACGATGTAGATGGGCTCCTCGGACACCACGGCGTAGAGCTGCACCAGCTTGTCGTGTCGGAGCTTCTTCATGATCTGAGCCTCCTCCAGGAAGGACTCGGGCGACATGGTGCCGGGCTTCAGAGTCTTCACCGCCACCTTGGTGGTGCCGTTCCACGTGCCTGAGCGTGGGAAAAAAAGAGATACAATTATTAATCATCTTGAAAAATTACGATTCCAGTTTCTCCAACTTATTTTCTTTTCTAGGCTCTTTTAACACATTTTTACAATCATAGTACAAAAAGAAGAGGTGAAAATAAATAAAAAATACATGCACATCTAACATTGAGTTACATAATGCTTTTCTGGGCTTAAGTTAAGCTCGGAAGGAGACCAATAAGGTGCTTTGAGTTGAAAACTTCTATGATATGACTTTATCTGTGTTTATGTTACTTACAACCTTTGTGGTATTCCCAACATCTAACAATAACCCAATATGGGAAAATGTAGTTTTACTGAACTCAACTAAAACATCACGTTTTTTTTTAAGGTCCATACAAACTAAAGCAGAAATCCGGAGAATTTAAAATGTCTTATTCTAGTCCAAATGGTCACTGAGTTTTAACAGATGAAAACTCCTGAATGATATCACTAAAAGCAAACACCCCTCCCTGTGGGGAACATTACATAACTGGGTGTTAGTTTTGAATGATCCAACACACGCAGTATGTTTCTCGAAAACAGTGCTCCCAGCTGTCCAAAATTGTAATTTTTGCCAAAAGAGAACGCCAAAAAGATACGCACCCATCCAGACCTCCCCAAACTGGCCGTTGCCGAGACGTTTGATGAGCTGCAGCGACTCGCGAGTGATCTCCCACACGTCTTTGGTTTTGACGGACAGGTCGGTGAGACGAGGCATGCCTTTGTGGCACGGTATGATCAGGCGGCAGCATAGCCCCGCAGCCCTGGCTGAACCAACCAAATAACATTGTCATTTTAAAGGGGACCTATTATGCAAAATCCACTTTTTCTTGTCTTCTATACACAAACATGTGTCCCCTCTGTGTAAAGAGACTCTGAAAGTTTCAGGAAAAAAGATTCGCTCACTTTTTGTCCTGATCCATTTCTATAAAAACCTGTCTGAAAATGAGCTGATCAGATTTTGGCCACTTTATGATGTCATAACGATTTTTTGGCTTGTGTAACCATTAGCCAATCACCAACCAAGGTAAACCCCCCCCCCCCCCCCCACCTTATCACCTGAATCTCTAGAGCACCATTGTGTTCTTTTTAACCAAATATCTCTCAGAGGGGCTCCTTATTTTCATCTAAAGTAACAGACAGAGAATCAGCACTTTGGAAACAGGGCTGAAACAGAGGGGATTATGGGATGCTAAAATGCATGATCTGTTTGGTATTTGGAGCCAAACACTTCAGAGGCATGTTTTGAATATATCTGAGACCTATAATATATTGATGAAAAACAGTATAATAGGGGAACTTTAAGGGAAGGATCTATCATGACTTTACGTTTATGTACATCTTCCATAACTGTGGCGAGAGTCTCACCAGAGTAGTGCTGCACCAGCTGCTGAAGCGTCTCAAACTGGGCTCTGGTGGTGATGTAGTAACCTCCACTGTCCAGCTTACGAATCTTATAGTGTTTGACGTGGTCTCCCTTGATGTCATCCCAGTCCTGGATGGAGAGGGAGTAGGCCCCTGGAGCAGAGACAACATTATTAAGAAATAATTAATGGTTTCAAGTCGACTAGAGCAAATCTCCGGTGAGTGTGTAAAAGATTTAGGGCAATGAAAATGGAGCACTTACATAGTTAATGACATAATATTAAACTGAACTCTAAAATGCAATGTTGGTGTAATATTCTATTTTGTTTGTCTATAAATAAACAGCTTGCACTGCCACATTCATGTCATGTAAAGGGTTCCTAAATATGTATCCGTTTGTTTATATTCTGTGTGTTTCCCAAACTTTAAAGTATTTAACATGTTAGCATATTCGATGAGGATTACCTTTGGTTGTTTCACTCTCACGGATGAGGAAAGTGCCTCTGGCGTTGCCGTTGGAGAGCAGCTGCCTCTCTGCATCCTTTCGGCCTAATTTCCCAAAATACCAGCTGCAGGGAAAAAGAGAAATAATCAAAATATGGTTAGTAATATTTGATTAAATACTTTTTTCAATACTATATCTTCTATTTTTACTCTAAGTGCCGCTATGCCACAGTTATAAAAAGACCGTGAGATGAGCTCTCAAATATTTATGATATATTCTCTACTGAGGAAGCTGTACTGCTGTGTGCTCATATACAAAATAAAAAGTTGTACTCACTCCTCAGCTTGGATTGAGTCCACTGGAGCGACGTAATTGCTGGGAATGTAACCAGTTCCACCTGTAGTGAGAGAACGAGCCTCCCACCAGTCACCCTCACTGAGGAGAGGAGAATAAAAAGGGAGATGGAGGTTGGAATAAAGCCATCAAACATTTACACATTATGCAGGCAGGCAAACAAAGACACTCAGAAGCGGATCAGATGTATTGGTTGTGTTGTTTTGAGAGCTGATGAAAGAGCACATAAAACAAACTACAAAACAAGTTGTTGTTCTGCTGCGCTGGCCCCTGAAGCTGCAGTGATTTATCTCTACAAAGTCGGACTGAAATCTGAGTCATCCCCTAATTTATGATATAGGCTTAGTTTGTCGGGGGAAATCTTACTTCTTCCTTCTCTCTGTCTATACCTGTGTACTCTCATGTTCCGATTAACCCAGCTTCCCCAAATGTCTTTCTTTTTGGTGTCTATATACGCCGGGATCCGGAGTCATGGATGATCCTGCGGTCCTGTGTCCTGCATCGCGAGCCCTGGATCTTGAGTCGTGGCTGTGGTCCTGGATCATAGGTCCTGGATGGATATCCTTGTGGATTCATCTTCCTATTATACACACATGCATTTCCAAACATTTGGACTACCTATGTTGTAAATGTATTAACTTTTCAATGTACACACGGCATCTATTGCACGTCTGTCCGTCCTGGGAGAGGGATCCCTCCTCTGTTGCTCTCCCTGAGGTTTCTCCCATTTTTCCCTTTAAACTGTGGGTTTTCTCCGGAAGTTTTTCCTTGTACGATGTGAGGGTCTAAGGACAGAGGGTGTCGTATTGTCATACTGATATTCTGTACAAACTGTGAAGTCCACTGAGACAAATGTAACATTTGTGAAATTGGGCTATATAAATAAACATTGATTGATTGATGTCAAAAGGGAGAACTAAGGTCTTAAGAATGTGATATGGTTTGGGTCAGATTTTTGTAAGGCGACACCATCATAACACCAGCTCTCAGATGTCAGTGTCAGTCAACACTGCTATGGGAAGTGTCCACCCTGGAGCTCATAAAGAGTTTCCACAAATATGTTTTATCCTCTTGTAAAATGGGGAAATAGATAGAGTCATAGTATATATAGAAGTTTATATGTACTCTCAGAAAAAAAATTTCTTTACACGATAAGGATAGGATAGTTACCAAATGACAGGGTCTAAAAACACGCCACACCACATATGTATTGTTTTTAAAGCACAGCAATCCTGCCACTATTTCTACACCACAATTGTGACAATCCATATTTCACTTCTAAAATGCAAACCATCAGAAAGCTATCATTAAAACAAAGAGTCTCAACATGCAAAACAACCTCTATAAGCCGGGTCAAGGCTACTGAGTCATGTTTCCTTTGTCTGTGCTTATGAAACACCATTTCAGCAGCATTCAGACAGGACAGACAAAAAATAGAGAGTGGGGAAAGAACGACCGCCTCCCTTTATGCGGTCATGCAGATGTTTCCACACTTACGTGCTGTTGAGGATCTGGAACCTCTCCCCCTTTCTGAAGCTGAGGTCATCCTCGGTCCTGGCTTCATAGTCGTAAAGGGCCACAAACAGAGTCACCCCTGCAGGGATAACAACGTGACATTTTGGTAGTTAGAGCTAGCAGAGGTGAATTGTTTAGATGCAGTATTATGTTGGGACTCTCACTGTGGTTGTTATGTTGCGTTTGTTCATCTGTTTCCCACATGGGCTTCTCGGTTATGTTATGCAATGGCAATATAAATCACTGCCCTCTTCATTTATTTTTTGCAGCCCATCTGCTGCTTTTATTTTAACTCCTAATTCTCATATTTATTTTATTATTTTCTACACATGTCCATTATATATATCTACTTTGACAGAGAAACGTTCTAGATGATTGTATCTCTTATTTCACTGCGTCCTATAGAACATTTTTATTTTAATGATTTTTAGCTCACTTTTTTGGTTTTACAGTCTTTTTCAAAGTTTGATAAAGCCACTGTACATGCTCAACACCAAATGGCATACATACACAGTTTAGCAGCCTAAGAGACTCATATTTCCCTCGCGAGTTGGGTGCAGACGAAAACAGAGTTAAAAGAAGAGCAAATATTGAAGCTATATTTGTCACGTGACCTCTATCGGCAGGATATGTAAATTAGCAACCATTAGCTTAGAGTCGTGCCCCTAAGCAAGTTTATAAGCTTAATACATGCCACGGTTTAAAAATAAAACATTTACCATACAATTAAAGCCGGTTCAACATGCAAATGCATCGAAGTCTGCCTTCAAGCATTATAAGACAGAGCTTCCTCTAGGAACAGTTAACGCTGCCAAGGACTATATGAGGGAGGCCAATCAAATGTATCTGATGTGATTTGAAATGGCCTTGGACTCCCTGTATCTCCTAATAAGCTTGAGACTGTAAAATGATTTCATTTTCTGATTTGATCTAAATCGTTTCTGGACACACAGTGCTGCAATAAAACCTTGTGTGTTTCCTTTTAAATGCAGTGACCTCCAAAATAAACCCTACAATGACCGAAGGGCTCACTGTGTCACAGTCGAACATGTTGATAACTTCACAAAGGGGTCACATGAGGATTTCCCCCGTGCTAGTTAACAAACTCAAATGTTAATGTTGTTTACTGTTGCCTCCTGGAGAACTCTTTTTCATTTATACATGCTGGCGGTGCACTCCACAGATGCAGAGTGTTTGTCTGTGCTAGAGAAAAATGCCCAGAGTAATTTACATCAAAGCAGGAGATGCTGTTGATTTATGCATCACACATTACATATATCTTAAAAATCTCAAGTAAGAGAGTGTAAAGCAGATTTCACCACTATTCAGCACAATGCCTGATCTTTCTGGTCGTGAAAGTGCTTCAAAGAGCAATTTAGGTCACTGTTTCTTTTCCATTAGCTTTCAGACAGTGGACATTCATCTTCTGTAGAAACGAGAACAATCGCACCACCAGAGTATCACCACACACAGGAGGAATCATGTATTTACTATAGGACGAAGAAAGAGTTCAAAAATATTTTTACATTTGAAATTCCAACCTTGCTCTGCAACCATTAATGAATGCTAGTCAGTTAACATAGCAGACATTAGACTTTTTATTCAATATTGGACGAGGGCCAGACAGTGAGTGGTTTTCAGAGCAGTCTACAGATGTTTACAACTGATGCCCCGGCCACACGAGGACGAAAACGGCTAAACGCATAGGATTAACGCAAACGCAAAAAAGCTTCCGTCCACACGCAATAGTCATCCGGATAGTGTCTGTCCACACGAGACAGCTCCGTTTAGCTCCAACCGCTGGAGAAGCTGCAGTACATATGCAGGAGCCTGTACGTGGCGCTATAACTTCCTCCACAAAAGCAGCGAAGAAGCATGGTTGTCATGGTTGCCCTTCTGTTTATTCTCCGAGGTGGGGGCCGAGGGAACCGGGCAGAGTTTTTCGCCAGTCAACGTGTATTAAAGTTTAAATCTTCCGACAAAATTATAAAAGTGCCGGTCAAAGGTCTTCTTTGTTATTTATTGAGCTTTAAAACAAATGAATAACGAATCTATATAATATAATAATAAAATACACGGAGCCTCTCTTTTTCCTCCCTCTCTTTGGACAGCGACAGTGTCTGTCTCATGCAGCAGCTGATCCAGTAATGAGTGACCCGGCCGACAGTAAAAATAAACATATTTATAACTAGTTTAGGTAGTTTGAGAGGTGTCTCCGTCCTGTCAGATTAGACTTCACTCGCGTTTATGTCCATATCGAGAGAAAGATAAATAATCTGAATTCAGTGTGCAGTTTACTTTGACGCGGGGGTGAGCAGCAGAGGTGGGGAGAGGCGGGGCTATTGCCTCATCATTATCAGAAAATGATCGTATAGGGCGTACACACGGAGCCGTTGGACCCCCCAGAGCGTTGCGTATACCGTTCTATCCACCTTGGGACCCGTTATCGTTACCGCAGTAGTTTAGTGCCGTATTCGGTCGTCCTCGTGTGGCCGAACGGTCTATATGACACTAAACAGTAACGCAAACGACCGTTTTCGTCCTCGTGTGGGCATTAGATCAACATTTCATTTCTCTTTTAATTGCTGTGTTTGAAATGTGACCCTATTTTAATGACAGCAACATATTTCAGAATTACAATGTCATCTTCTCTTAAAGGAACAGTGTGACATGTTGGGGAATACACTTTCTTGCAGAGAGTAAGAGTTCAATAACTCTTATGTGTGTAAATCAAATATGATAATACAAGCAGCAGGCAGACAGTTAGCCTAGCTTAGCATAAAGACCAGTAAATGAAGGAAATAGATCTGCTAAAAAGTATTTTACCTCAAAAACCTTATTTGTTTCTAACACATTGACAGAAGATTTTACATTGTGGCAATAATGCTCAATAATAAACAGATAGTTTGGCATGAAAAAAGTATCACAAGATATATTTTCAAAACAGCAACAGCCTTTAAAATCTGTACCCCCTAAACCAGTGCTACTCAAAGTGTGGTCCGCAGACCACTGGTGGTCCGTGAGCGCCCCCTAGTGGTCCGTGAGTATATTGGTAACATTTCACATTTGAAATAAATACATTTATTTCAGTTTTCCGCACTCTCGCGGGAATATCTCCGCAGTGGAGCAAGGTTACGTTTCACTTTCGATTGCATGATATAGCCCAGCGCAACACCTTCATCACACATGTTGCCACTTGTTTGTACCATTATCAGGCGATTTGTAATCTGTTCTAGAAAAACGGTGTGTTTTTTTATATTTGTGGAGTCAGGTGGTCCGCGAGTGTTTTTTTATTGGTTAAGTGGTCCTTGGTATGAAAAAGTTTGAGAAACACTGCCCTAAACCCTATTAGTTACTAAACAGCTGCCTTGTATTCAGACCAATTTACATGCTCTACTACAGACTCGTTTAAAAAAGCTCCTTGAACCTCACCTGTTCCTCCTCGAGACCGAAGCGTGCCAGACTGCGAGGACGTGTGGACCCCTCCGAACACGGTCACCCCCTGCGAGGCGCCGGTGTGGAAGTTGTTGTAGTTGGGGATGGTGTTGACCCCGAAGCTGGGGTAGTGCTGCGGCGTGGGGTCGGACCCATAGCGGTACCCCGAGTTGTGCGAGATGCTGGTCTCCCGGTCATCGGTGAGTTTTGCTGCTTCTTTGTCCTTACATTGCACACAGCCCATTCTCTCCTTTCTGTGGGTGGAGAGAGAAAGAGAGGAAATTAGTACTGGGTGAAATAATAGCTCAAAAGCCGTCTCCATTGGGGAAATTATGATTCAATATTCCATTATTTCAGAGCTTCCTCTGAGGGTTACAGAAAGCCGTATGAAAAATCTTTCAATTAGGCTGAAATTAAACACGATAGTTTAAACTCCATTACTAATTATACTTAGGCACATAACGGGACAGAGATGCAGTGTATGAATAATGTAAACACTGTAAATATGTGTACAGATACTCTATGCTGAGAATATCCACACTATAAAATAATTTACCAGCTCTACTTATCATGGTTTAATTTTCCATCTTGTTGCACCACCACACTTTTAGGAAGAGTTTACAACCAGCCATTGCATTTACAAGTTGGCACGCACTTTATTTTTGTTTTCTCTAAAAGTAGCCACACAGCCAACTAAAGATTCAGTTAGGCTCTTAACAGTAAACCACTCGCAGACTTTACACTGAGTCCCATGTTTATTATCCCATGACAGGGGCTGGCCTCAGTAAAGCAAACCAGTTTCTGTAATGGGTAAGGCAATCTGCTTTGCCAATTTAAAAAAAAAGAGCCTTACCATCTTTATAAGACCTAGTTAAACTAATGCACATTTCAGCTCACCAAGCCCCCCTTTAAGCCCTGCAAGCTCACAGAGCCGGGGAGAGGAGGAGAGTGCAGACAGACTGTTGTCTTTTATCAGCGCTAGAGGCCAGCTGAGTTTTAATTGGAAACACACTTGTTTACAGTCGCTGTGCATGGGTGGAGGGGGTGCTGGGGGCAAACACCTGGGCGGCAGGAGACTGAGGAGGAGGGAAACAAAGCTTTTGACCTCAGCTAAAAGATTCAGATCCACATTAACAGAAGAGCTAGGTGGTGTCTCTCTTCTGTCAAGAGGGATTTATACAACAAGAAGTATAATCATCTTTTGAAAAAGGTTTTTACCAATGATAGGGACAAAATAGTAGGTTTTGGACAAGTGAAAATTCCAAATATGTTATACAACAATACCCAGCAGCAGCATCACACACAGAGTAAAGATGATTTTAGAGGAAACAGTTTCAGCTAGAAGAATCTCTTTGTATCTCATTATTGAAGATTAAGAGATGAATCAATTCATCAATTAAAAGAAAGAAAGACAAGACAATTCTTTTGAGCATTATTATGTTGTTTGGCACTTCAATTGTGTAAATTCCCTGGTTTTCATGTTTTCTTTGAGATTGAACTAAATGTGTTCCGTTTTGGACAACAAGGCATTTCAAGATGTAACTTTGGACAAATGTGAGCTGACTGCTGACATTTTGTGCACCAAACATTGACAGTGTTGCAAACCAATAAAATGTATAAACACTATCTTTCTTTTAGGAGACTATACTGCAGTTTGAAGCCCAAATGAGCTGGAGTAGGAGGCATGTCCTGAAGGACACCAGAGCTTAAGCTACAAAATATATGACTGGATTCCTTCGGACCTTTTTTACATTTACAAGCCAGAAACCCAAATGCCAACTTCAGAAAAAAGTGCAAACAGATGTGTCACTTGCTTCACAGAGCCAGCACTGCAACAGGCAAAGTTAAGTGTTGTTGAAGACTTACATCTCGCACGAGTATTTCCCTTTTTCAAGCAAGCAACTCATATTTAAGACAAGGGGAAAATAAAAAAGGGTGTGCTCACATTTGTCATGTCAAAAGGTCCATGATGCTTTGTTATCCTTAGTCTTGATGACCGCTGCCACAGCAATAAGAAATAGTGTTTCCTCCTGCTCACATGCACGAACAGTAATGCAAGTAAAAATCACAGAAATAACCACCATGCGTCCCAAATACAGAATTCTCCTCCTGTGCACAGAAAGACTCTTTAGTTTCTCCAGTCCTATATTTTCTCCATACTACTTAACTAACAGAAGAATGGAGCCACCGCAGAGAGGAGGAAAATCATTTGATTCATTACTGCCAATGAAACCCCATAAATACCCAGAAGAAGAAACCAGCCCAGCAGTAGCATTACAGCATGAGCCCAGAGACCAAAGCTGTGGGACCAAAGACTCATAAGGAGCTGATTCTCTCGTAATCCTTAAAATAACAAATAATCTTCTTTAACTTCTTCCATCTTCTGGTATTTACCGCACAACTCTCTACGGTGCAGCCGGTATATTAAAAGTATAGATCCACCTTAAAACAAATGTTAAGCCTACAATTTTCATTAAGAGGAAAGACTCTCGGAAAACAGTAGAAATGAAAAGGTGAAGCTTGTCATATCGTCAATGTGACAAGCTGTCAAACTATATATCAATAAGTCAAGGAGATATTGCAAAAACTAACCCACAGACATCTAGTGCTGATCAGCCGATGAAAACAGGGTTAGTAACTTATTAAAATCTGTGACAGCTTTGGTGGAGAATTGCACAAGCATGGACATATCAACTGGAGTGACTGCGACACCACGGGTCTGCTTTCTGGTGGATTTTCTCTTTAACTGGAGTGATTGAAATGAAAATAGCACCGCATCCACTCCTGGAGGGATCAGAGTAAATGAGGGGAGATCTCACGTCGCCGTGTTGCCTTCAGGGATTATAAAATTCCTCCTGCTCTTGAAGTAAAAAGACTGTAGCTTTAACATGTCTGTAACTATTCTGCTGCATAGAATATAGGCCATCTTGTACTGTTTATACATATGTTCCCTAGTATTTTGTTTTTGTGTAGTAAACTTTTGCACATGGACATCTGTGTGTACGTTGAGTTGAAGTTGCTCGATGAGAGCTTTAAAAAAATCTTTGGACATAACAAACGATATATATCAAGTTTAGCTTGAGAGCAACAGGCAGATGTATCACATTTTCAAAATAACATAAGAGTTTCAGAAGCATTCATCACTGACTTTCAGATCCAAAGGACGACCACTCTCTGTTATTCAATTACACGCATGAAAAGGCACTGTGGATCATATCAAAATGTCAAGACAAAGCTCTGCAACGTAGTGATTTTAGGTGCGTTTCAGGGACACTAAACACATACTAGACTGCTCCACGCCTGACCTGCGGCTCAACTTTCTCCCCCCCAAAAAAGCAGATGATGGCATCACTGCCGCGGGGTTTGTTCCTTTCCGTGGCACAGCTTGGGTATAGCATGACCACCTCACCCTGCAAGAACGCACATAACGCTGTTTTCAGACCCAAATGAACAGCTTGCCTCCGAGAAGACCACACTGCCATGATAAGGAAGCTCCAGTGGGGACGGGATCGTAGCTATGTGGTGTGTTGTAACAGTTATTGGCAAAAAGGCAGAGACGTGGAAGAGTGGGAGGACTTGACTTTAACACGCTATCAAATTTAAAGTCCTCCTCTTGATTGGCTCAAGATGTAGTAGTCTGAAATATGACTTTAATGTCCAGCCATATCTGTTTGAAAGTATCTCAAAACTGTCAAGACAAGATTCCTTCACATCAGGAAGTGACTTCTTTTTTTTTTAAATTAAGGTACAAATTGTTTTCTGAACAGAAATGAACTGAATAGGGCCAGTACAAATCAGTGCATCAGTCAAAGCTGATGGGATCAACTGGATTTACATTTGCTGACAGTTTTTTTTATGCTGTGTTAATCATCTGTAGTAAAAACAGAGGAGCTGGGAGCCATAATGAGATACTAGGCCATTAAGTAAGGCTGAGAGATCAATATGTGAAATTAAAAGGACAGACATGTCCGGGTCACACAGCGTGACTGATGAATGACACAGGAGATAGACAGACAGGCCGAAGAAACAGACATATGCGCTGGCTTGAAAAGACAATGCATGTCAGGACTGAAAATGTAATAACGGGCACTGGTGTTGATTTATTGTAGAGATTAGGTAGTCAACCCCTTAGTTGTCAACAGCCAAAAATCAGCAACATTTTCCAATGAATAATTTGAATGGTTCAACATCATTTTCCAACCTTTTTGGGTTGTTTCTTATACATGCTGTAAAAAACAAATGTGTCCTTTGGTGATCTGAAATCAAATCCACCCTTTTCAAGCTTGATTAATTAATCGTTTTGTCTTTAAAATATTGTTGTTTTTAAATGGCCATTCCTCATTTCAAAAAACGAATTGTTTTTATTTGAATACCAGCTCAAATCCCATAACATATCATAAAGAAAAACAGCTTATTCTCATATTTGTTAAGAAGCTAGAATAGCGAAAATGTCATCACTTTGCTTGAAAAACAACTGAAAAGATTAAAAACAATAGGTACGCTCTCAGCTCAAAAATTGAAAAACAACAGTTGGAAATTTGACTTACAAATTAAGCTCAACTGTTCCCTACATCTTAGAATGCCGTCATTATTTAACCTCATGAATTTGCAAATCTCTCCAGAATACAATCATTTTGCAATTCAGCCCAGCCTCTAACAAGACAGCTCTGTTTAATTTGAAACGTGGGGTCCCTTTACACTCATGACACAAAACAAGGTCAACCCTCCCACAGCCCTCCTACTGAAGCCACGCTCGCAACGACCTTATTCAACTCCTAAAAATCAACTTTCTGTTCATTCAACAAAGAATTGACGTAAAAGAAGTTAATTTTCTCTTGTGTGACATTTGAATGCGTATAAAACTCTCTCCTGTGTTTGCTGGACTCAGTACAACTCAGACAATCTCCTCCTTATGGCAGTCATTCTCTGAATAGTTACAACATTTTCTTGTAAGACAACTGAGTTCATTCAGTTTATCAACAACAAGACAATGGCCACAGTTCACCCTGCTACAAGATTATCAGCACAACAGCATGCAGTGTTGAGGCTTTCAAAGCATTCTTCTCATACTGAATGAACAGAGGTGGTTATAAAAACCCACAGCTGAGCTTCATACAGTACGTACGCGTGGGTTTAAGCCTTGACTGTGTTTTGGTGTCACAATGTTCACATTAAGTATGTTGAGTCATGTTGTTAAATCACTGAGCACATTGTAAAGGCCCATTCAGTCAGTGAGATTGGTGACTGGTTGATGAATATTTACCAAATGAGAAAAGGGCAAATTAGAATAACATGAACGTTTCTCTTTTTCCAGAAACAGGAGCAGATTCTTGCTGCTTCTGCCTGTCAGTCTGAACTGGGGGGTTTAAAACGTTTTTTTCCAGATCTGGTGCCAGTGAAGGGCAATGGTCGGTGTAAGAATACACTGGAAATATTGATGTGGTGGGTCTACAGAAATGGAGGTTAGAAGTTTTCTGAATAACACTTGCGTTTAAAAAAAGAGAACTGAGGACGAGCCAGAAGAATTCATACACATCACGCACGACAGTTGTGTAGTCATTCATGGACCAATGACAGGCTGGATACTGAAAGCTTCAGGCTGCAGATCCACACACAGCTAACTTATTGCACATGGATAGAACCGAGGCTTTAGCCCCCAGCTACACACTGTGTACACCAGCCATGGTGTTTGCCAACAAGATGGATGGATGCACCTCCAGACACATCAGATAACCCGATTAGGACAGCTTTAATTGTGCTGAAAATAGCTGATTCAATCAGTTTGTAAAAAACAGTGTTACTAGTATCTATTTTGGGAGTTTTTCGAATGAAACACTTATCTTATAGACTTTTTATTTACCTATCTCTTAATGGTTTATTTTCTTATAGATGCTATGCGCTTCCAACCAATTTTCATTCAATTGGTCCAGTTGTTTTCCCAAAATACTGCTGACAAACACACAAACCGAAGTAAATACGGGTAACAATGAATCTGCCAATAAGATTTTTTCGAGGGGTTGCATTTTCTGATTAATAGTGCAAAATATCACAAATCAAGAACACAGTCACTTTTGAGAAGCACATTTCTTAAATAATTCCTCTATTATCAAACAGGTGCCCAATTGATTTATGTTCATCATCTAATTGATAATTAAACTAACTGTTGCAGCTTCAACTGAAAATCAGCATTAGCTGGTGTGGCTGTTTGTGTGACATTTGTTGACCTATAGATAGACAGTCACACAACTACTTGATATGTTGTTAATGAGTACATGTTGCTTTAACCAAGTAATTAATTAACCCCTTACTGGGTCAAATGAAACGCCTTTGTGGAGACATACTTAATTTAAACCTAAAATCAGTCACAATTAGTGGCTTATACTCCAGTGTGCCTCATAAGTAGGCTAAACTGTATGGACAGAGAGGGCCTGAAGGGGAGTATATGGTCCATTAACCATAATATGCAACTCCTTTCATTCAAAATTCATACACATCACGCACGACAGTTGTGTAGTCATTCATGGACCAAATGACAGGCTGGATACTGAAAGCTTCAGGCTGCAGACCCACACACAGCTAACTTATTGCACATGGATAGAACCGAGGCTTTAGCCCCCAGCTACACACTGTGTACACCAGCCATGGTGTTTGCCAACAAGATGGATGGATGCACCTCCAGACACATCAGATAACCCGATTAGGACAGCTTTAATTGGGTATTAAACAGCGCGGCAATGCAATTGGCTTTAATCATAGCACAATTATTTTGGGGTGAATCAATAGGAGGCTGTCTGGAGGCCATTGTGGCGTTCATCGTGTGAATGGCCTCAGTGGTCAGCTATGCTCTGCAGCGCATCCATCCCTGCTGCAACACAGAGCTCCCTCTCCACAATCACAGCACTGCAAAACATCCACAATTACGAGACCACCACCTCTCTCTGTGATTTGACCCCCTCTAAAGGCAACGCTTCCCGTCAAATATATGCACGTTTATCTGCAGGACGACTAGAGGGAATACTGGCAGTATTGCAGCGACCCACAATGTGTTATTTATCTCCTCTGCTCTCTCTTTCACCGAGATGAATTCATCTCGCAGTCCACAGCGCAAAATAGGGGACTAGGCGGGTGCACCAATTGAAATTCTACACAGAAAGATAAAAAACAAAGGCGTGCTTACCGCAGAAAATCAGATTAATCCATCGGAGTTTCCAGAGGGACTTTCGTGCGGGAGTTCGCAGATATTGTTCTACTCTCTGTGAGTGTTTTTCCTTCGCATTGAGAGAGAATCGCGGTCCTCCCTGCCCGATTCAGGAGCTGCTCTCGCCGCCGTGCGTACAGATGATGACGAAGGCGAACAGTCAAGTTCACAACAATAAAATGCACCGCTGCTGGTTTGTCCTTTCAAAATAAAGCTGTTGTTCTAATGTCATTGTAATGTGAAAACAACAATACAGAGTGTCAAACAAACATGAATTCACTTATCTGATCCTGCATGAGCATCATTATGTCAAGAAAGACCGGTATATGATTTGTAAATGACTTAGTTCCGTGCTTTTATTTTGATCTGCAAATAGTGCTTTGTTTTCCGCTAGGGCTCTGGTTTTCCGGTTTATCTCTTGACGTCTTGACGTCGTGTGATTGCGTGCAGCTGATGCGGATCCACGCAGAAAAAGGGCTGTGATTGACAGCGCTCTCCTCCAATAACAAATTACAATGCATAGTGGGACGCCCCTTCGTTTTTCAGAAGACTAAATAACAAAGCATGATGAGCAAATTAGAGCCTTCTTCATACTCTCAGTGAAAGTATTTAAATGGGAATAAGAAACACACAGATCAGCATACAGATAATAAAACACTAATAAGTCTTACATTTTTTTAAATAGGAACCAAAACCCCTTTTCATAAATCTTTGGGTCAAGCCTTCGTGAATTAGTTGTATTCAAACTAAAATCCTTAACAGGTAATATTCCTCTTTGCCTGTAGGGAAGCTCATGAGATCAATATCATGTTGTTGTTTTTTGTTGGAACCTGCTTGAAATAAGAAAACAGCATCACCTGTATTTATATTTTATCAGCAATATTGAACCCCTCAGAGAGAGATTTAGGTGCAAATACAACATGTCTTGCAAAAAAAAATGGAATAAAAATCCTAATCCATATTATAATGTTTTGGATATACAAACTAAATGTAAATCTGTTCAAGAATGTGATTATGAAGCACACTGCTGACCTCTGACCCCCGATAACTTAAAGGTATGGTAGGTAAGTCACTCAGAAACACTTTTTGTTATATTCCATGGAATGCTCTTCACATCCCGATAGCAATGAATCAATTAAATGCTTTGACAATAAATATATACAAATATTTCATCTGTGGAAGCCGTGGCGCTGTAAAAAGCTAGTCCAATTATCTGCCTCGGCCCGTGGCAGATAATTGGAGTCTGAAGCTGAAGGAAGGGGCAGATTTCTTTCGGTTTTGTACTTTCAAATTCTAGCTTACTCGAGCTGGTTTCTCCATTCTTACCTACCTCTACCTTTAACATCCAGTTTTGAAGCGGTTTCAACACTGATCAGGCTTCAATAAACCAAACATGCACTTATTTAGCTGACTGAAAAAGCATGTGGCTCTTTTTGTAGTCTGTCAGAAAGTAGTGAAAAATGTCAGTTTCCATTGGTACAAAATCAACTGTCCAAAACTGAAGACAATACATTTATAGTGATATACAACATAAAAGCTTGATAAAATAAAGTAGTTTTTTTTCACTTTTACTTTCAAAAGTTAGGTCTTTTGTTGTTATTGAAATATATATATATAGACATGTTATTCATTGGGATAAACGATAAACCCCTTGAGATGCACCATCTCGTTTTCAAGGGGGTCCCGAAATAAATGAGGGACATGTTATGGAAACTTATTTTTTTTTGTGTTTTAGCTTTAGTGGTAGAGTTTACTCAACTTAAAAAAATCACTCTGTGGATTCTCTTTTTAAAGTTTTAGATTGTTATGTCATATCTTTCTATTGCTATTGACAAATAAACAGATGATTTATATATTTTTTGTTTCACTAGTGTAAAAAAGAAATGCATGTTGTTAACAAATGTACTTTAAAGGGACACAGTTTCTTTTCCTAACGTTATATAGGCGACAGTTGATTGGACTCAACTGAGTCTTATAATAAAAAAACTGTGTAGTGGGAGTTTTTGGCACCCGAAGAAACTAAAAGGCAGGAAAGTGAGAATTGTAATGAATACCTTTCGCATGTTTAAGATGTTGTGTGGATTTGTGCCTTTGTTTCATTTCACACACACTGAACACACACAGGCTGCTTTAAGATCCTGATGCTGTTCAGTATCTTCCTGACAGGTGAAGTCTTTATGTCTGAATGTCTGGCCTGCATGGTGCTTTGTGCCCTGCTGGCTTTGTCCCCTGGTTTACATATTCATGGCAGCTCAGCATAATAATTACAGCTTTGCATGTAATCAGAAGATCACAACAATGAGCGTGGCCTAGTTAGCTTGATGAGGGCGGGTGAAAGAAGTCACCCTAATCCTCAAACTGTTGTCTGCACTGTTTTGAACTCACTCTCACCCACTTCTCCAAAACACAGGAGTCATGGTCGCTAAAAGCCCTCGACGTGCAGTCTCTTCCTTGGAGCCATTTTGGACTGGTAACCATGGAGATGTGGGTCATGCAGTGATGGCAGAGAGGAGACTTGTGGCTGGTGGTGGAGTCAGAGGACTGCAGGCTGCTGGAGAAGAGGGCCATAAACTCTCATTATATCTGGGTCACTGGGATGCTCCAGCTGCAACCAGCAGACAAGACGCTATTATGCAAGAAGAGGGACGAGGGATGTTGTGGGCACAGGGGCTTATAGTTACAGGGCACGTCTGTCTATCGAGCGAGGCATATGTCAGGAGGGTGCGTAATGATATGACATGAGACCAGCTGAGCTGTGCTTTCTCAGAAACATGCTGTTGTTTTTGCACTCGCATGTCTTCAGTTGGGACAAACAACTTCTTCCATATTATTTGTTTCAGCACAAGTAATACATTTAACTCTACATGTATTTTTTTATCTGTTAAACATCAAATAATGTTTTATGATATATCATTGCATATTGTACCCTATATTAATGTACATATCTTTTTTTTTAAGGCAATTGCTCATGAAACCTGCTGTATAATGAAATACAAGAATGGCCAGAAATTGTACAGGGAAGACTAAATATTTCTTAATACATAAATTGAATGTCATATACATGTAAAGCATAACATTGGCCTTTTTATGTGTTTTATGTAACCATTATTGTTAATTATAGTATGGGATTATCCACTATTTATGAGATATCACCTCCTTGAAACCAGCCTGCAGTTGAATCTGTTGATAGTGTAAAGCTTCATGAAATCTCAGTCGTTATTTCAGTCATATACAATCAAGTTTCTGCACCAGAAAGTGAATATAAGAGCAAGTTGTTGGCCATGTTGTTGTGTCTCCTATTGTCCATGGCCCCCACTCCATGACCCCCCTCCACTCGTTGGATCCCGGACTTGTGATTGGTGTAGACGGGCTGGCTTTGTCGTCATAGCCCCAGTGCCCATTCATCAGTGGACTTGGGCGTTGTACTCCGCATCTCATTTGCGGCGGGGCCAATTTCTCCATTTACAAACTCCGCTCGAGAAAAAATTGAAAGAATTCCCGTTTCTTTTACATCTTTGCCACAATTCTTGCAGGTTCTCTCTCGTCCCTCTGCGGTCACTTCGGTTTCGGGCTGATCCACCGGTATCGGTTGTAGAAGGAGTTGCCGGCGCTTGACTTGAATTGTTGGGGAGGAAGCTTGCGGTCTTTGTTCATTCATTTGATCGGTTGGGTTCCTTTGTTGCACCAAAAGCATGGGAGCACAAATCTCCAAAACCGCTGGAAAAGAGGAAGCTGCGGTGGAAAAGCCAGCAGAAGGTGCAGCCGTTGCAGCAAAGACGAACGGACAGGTATATATTTTAATTATTTAAGTCTCAATTGCTCCGGGGGAATTTTGTCTGGTTTTAGCAATGTGTTGAGTCAATGGCGTGCTCCATGTTCCCTGTAGCGCATCCCCACGCTCACCGGCATTCAGGGAAAGTGGCCACATGTATCCATTTTCACCAGCGAAAGCATTGTTACAAAATCATGTGCTTTTTAACGCAACGTTGATTCAAATTGATGCATTTTCTTTTTTAGCTGCTTTAAATTCATACAGGCATATTATTTAATTATTTTTTATATATAGGCTATAGCCATATATCAGGCCGCACATCTAATTTGTTGAGTGTGTATTTCACCAGGTCGAAATTGACATTTTTTGATTTATCACAATAATTTTGACGGGGCTTTGGTTTCTAAAACATTGCGGCTGTTTTGGTATTCTTTTGGTTGAGATGTGTGCAGCGGGGGTTTGTGGGCGCTCTCACTGTGGCATGGCCATTTTAAAAAAAACGATACCACGCCTTTGTTGCCAGATTCAAGAAAGGAGCCACGTTTTTGTGCCAACACTAACCTGTAAATCAACCAATTGTTTGAAAAAAACACAGAGTTGAACGGTGGGAATATATCTCAATTAAAATAACACACAATGGTTTATTAAAAAAGTCATTAAAATAAGGCTTAAAGTCACACAATTCCTATATTGTATCCTGTGTCTCCACACTGAACACCACCTGGCGGGAGCCGGCGGTACTGCAGTCTAGCAGACTAGCCTACTGCTGAAAACCACAGATCTGTCGTCACTCTCCTAGTAACAGATGTTACTGCAGTTTTAGGGCTTTTTCCTATTGGTTAGTCCTTGCATTTGATTCAATTCCACAGCATGCCAGATTTTGCAGGTGGTATTCTTGCACACACATTCTCTTATGTAGGCCAGAATTGGCCTAAGATGCATGATTACAGATGAACAAACTCCTTTTTCCTTAAATAACATGGAAAGGTTCACAAATGACAGTTTCATTCTCTTTCCTTCCAGGAGAATGGCCACGCCAAGACCAATGGGGATGCCTCTCCAGCTACAGAGGAGGCCAACAAAGCTGATGTTCAGGCCAACGGCAGCACTCCCACTGAGGAGGCGCCAAAAGAAGAGATTGGCGAGAAAGTAGAAGTTGCAGAGGCCAGCGGCGAGAAGGAGCCTGCCGCCACAAACGGAGAGGCTTCTGCCAAGCCGGAGGAAGGCACTCCGTCCAGCGAGGATGGCAAGCAGAAGAAAAAGCGTTTCTCCTTCAAGAAACCCTCCTTCAAGCTCAGCGGCTTCTCATTCAAGAAGACCAAGAAAGAGTCTGAGGAGGCAACAGAGGAAGAAGCCGCAGCAGCAGAACCAGCC